TGTTGAGGCAAAACTAAATTATATGATTTTAAGATTCGCCAGCCTTGAACATTGACTAATAATCCTTTCTCTATTAATGTGGACTCAATGGTTTACTATAATAGTTATTATTCCACTTTTATAACATTATTCAAATCTATCAACTATTCGTGATTCATCAAATGACTCCAATTTACAATTACTATTATACTTAGAAATCCGCCTGAATATTTATTATTAATATTTTTAATATAAATATTTCACATAATTTTATATCAAAGAATATAAGTGTATCTTAGCCCGATTACTTTCAAAATTTAAATCATAGTATGAAAGATTAATATTCTACAAGAAATCCACGGAAGCATTGCATACTTTAAATCACTTCGGAGCATTTTTTAAATATAAATATAACTGTATATTTTGTCAACGATAACACAAGGACGTTTTCTTCGTTACGGAGAATAAAAACCTATCTAAAAATTACGACATCAAAATCGATTAAATGGAATAACTCTGCTTGATAAACTTAAAAATTAGCGCAATTATATAGGAGATTAAATTTTCCATTGTAAAAGTGTTAGCTCACTATAGAAATGGATATAAATTTATTTAACATAATATTTAAACCGTAATTGTAATTCAGAGTCAAAGGGGAAGCTGGAATCCCATTTTTTTTTAACGAATGCTAGGTTTGATAAATATTATTTCGAGATAATAACAAATTTACCCTTATCCCCAAAAACCTTACAAAGAGGATATGATGTCATAATAAATATAGTAAGAGATAAATTAATATTAAAGGTAAAGACTATTATATTTAGTAATAGTTTAAAAATAATCCGCTAAAAACCCCTCAAAGAGGAATCCTACTAACATTATTCAATAGAATTTATTTAAAAAAAAATTATTCAATCGAAAATCTTGGATACGCAATTTATTAAAAAATACCTGTTATAAAAAAAATATAAAACCACTTTAAAAAAATATTTAAAAAATATAACTAAATAAACATTAAAAAAAATTAAATTTCCAGATAAAAAAATAATATAACAAATCTTAAAATTTTATTTTTAGGAAAATATCTAAAAATAAACATTAAAAAATTAAATACCATGTAAAAATTAAAATATTAATATTTAAAAAAAATATTTTAAAAAAATTTCTAAAAATAAACATCAAAAATTAAATACATGTAAAAATTAATATAAAAAATAGCAACTTTTAAAAAATATATTTTTTTAAAAAAAATATCAACATGTAAAAAATAAATATAAAACCCTCGAAAATAAATAAAATATCACATATCTACTCTACATCTTAGGTGTCGGCTCAAACGGCTCATTGAGCCTCTCGTATCTAAGCCGTTTTTAACGACTAGAAACTTGACGACGGCTTAATGGTTTAAATAATGCATTATTATATTAAAATTCCCCACACTACTCCTTTATTAAACTTTGTGCTTCGTTTATTAAATTGTATTTAATCATTTTATTTTCCTATCTGAAGCCATTCATGATAAAGAAATGGATGACAAAATAATATTATAATTCCTCTAATTTTTTTGATTGGCTAATAATAATTTTACATAATTTTATTTTTAACTTATCCATTAATTTTAGATATGACAAAACAGATGAGAAAATACGAGAAGCCGCCAACAGAGTTAAACCCTTCTCGGTAGGTAGAATTACAGTGTCAATTTCTATATGTATTTTCTCATCTGTTTTGTCAGATATCATTTTCTTTTTTTTTCGTTCTCATCATAATCATATCTATAGGCCATAATGTTTATAAGTCTAACTACTGCTATTTTATTACTATTTGAAAATATAATATTCATATCTAAATCTTCATTTTATTTTATATGAGTGCATAATTTAAGCTTAATATCATTAAAATTAATTTTATTTGATAAAGGCACACCATTATAATACCGAATAACAATAATTTAATATTTATTATATATATAATATAGTAAAATTTTACTTTATAGTAAATAAATCAATCTTAGGGGTTTGCATTTAGTAATCATTATGCCAATAATTGTGATTAAATATATCTACATATTTATTTATTTATCTTGGGCTTTGAATTCATTGATTAATTATACGCTACAAATTTAGATGGAATTGATTCATTTTTCAATAAATATTTATCATACATTAGTCATTGTTTAAAAGAATTCCTAGTTTAAATGACAAAAATAGGAGAAAGAAAGAGGAGGGGGTAATTAAAAACATATTCAATTCTTAAAAACAATTATATAGTAATTTTTTGTCTAATTTCAATAAGTAATGAAGTGGGATCTGAAAACAGATAAATAAGGAACTTAAGCACATTAATAATATAAATTAAGGGTATATAATAATTTCCTAGGGAAACATAAAGTACTCTCCCCAACCCTATTTTGCTGTCCTTCGGTTGGTTTTATATTAAATATTATACTTTTTTGATTGAAATTTGCAAATTCTGAACAATTATTCTGAATTTCATATTTTCTCATTTATTATGCATACAAATAATGAAAGCAAAACAATAAGAGATATTTCTAAAGATAATATTTTTTAATGCAAAATAATTAATTATTTATTACAATATTAAATATTTTCTATTACATATAAAAATATTTTACGTCTCAAGAATTACATAAAAACGGTTAATTAATTCATACACTGACTCAATTGATAATGGTTTTTAAAATCCCCACAAGGATATATATGTTTAGCATAAAACTAATATAACGTTGTGTTACCATTTTAGACAATGTTTAATAGAATGGACTAATAAGGAAAAATTTGTAGGCCTAACCAAATCAATAATTCATGAAGAAAAGAATATAAACGGCTAATCCATATCATAAAACTATATTGTGGTTAGAGCTTCCTCTTAGATGTCATTATGAAAGCTAGATAGTTATCGAGAAAATTATTGTGAGATATTAAATTTCTAAAAGATTATCTTCCATTTTTAATGATATATAAACTAGATTGTTCGCCATGATTGCTTATCTAAATTATGCAATCAAATTCTCTCAGCAGCAGGAGTAATAATTTTCAATTTTGCCACATAAATAATAATAGATGCTGATTAATTTTCAGTCATAGCTATGACACTCACAATGTTAACTCATATCAGAATTTATTATGTTAGATAAATTGATAAAACAAAAACACTAAAAATCTTTAGAAGAAATTATGTGAATATATTGAAGCCTTAAGTTATTTGCACGGCAAGGATGACATATTAGAAATGAAACATTTTGCAACTATAAAGTAAGAACCAGAGTGATATGATTAAAGCAAATAAGATTTTATATATTATTGTCGCAAAACCACTAGTTGGTATATTACGTCTTAAAATAATAACAGTTTGTAATAATAACAAATTAGCTTTTCTAAAAACACGTAAAAAAAAGAGAATGAAAAAATGACATCTAATAAAAATTATATCCATTGTGGGATGAATAATATGATGTTAAATTTTTTAAATAGATGGCGTTAAATAATAAAATGCAAATTGTTACTTATGTTTATTATCAAAAGCATTTAGTAAAGTTTAATAAAATATTAACTGTTCTATATTCTAATCTGTAAAAGTGGCATTTTACGTAGTATTTTATAACCAATTCTATATAATAGAGGATTATCAACTATATGTCTACTTACTTTTTACAAAGAAATTTCTTATACTTTATGGACCTTGGAAATATTTTTAGGAAGAGGTATGGTAATTAAATTTAAAAATAGATCAATGATTTTGAACTCAGCTAATAATTACAATATTAAATTTCAATTAATATAAAATAACTTAAACTATAAAAATCAATTACTGTTAATTCAAAATTGATATTTAGACATTATGAATGATATTCCATTTTTATAACAGAATTTGATTAAGAAAGCTGACATAGTGCAAATAAAAAATATATGTATTAATCTAATCTAATAATTAAAATAGCACTCTTTCAATAAAAATTTAGATAGTCTTATTAATTTTTCAATAATAAAATTAAATCCATATATAATACTTAATAGAATTATAAGAGAAATCGTTTAGGGGCTGTCAAAAAAAATTTTTATTTTTAGTGCAGGGGGATATTAGGGAGACATTAAAAAAAATTTTGCTTCAGTGGGCTCCTACTGATTTTCATACTTCTAAAAAATACTTCAAAACTGGAACTATCGTTAAATTAAAATTATGTATTTCAATAAAAAGACATGCTAAGCAAAATTTCAAAGAGCATAAAAATCCTTAAAAATGATATGGGGCGATATCATAATTTAAATGTTTAAAGATTAGATTTAGTAAAGACTGAATATAATAGATAAAAAGATGTCATAAAGATTAAAATATAACTGTTTTAAAGAGATATAACTAAACTGAATGTCTATTATAATCAATCATATTAATTCAATTAACAAAGACCAAAATATATAGTTGAAATTGAATCACTCCCATTGTAGCTCAAAATACTAATATTTTTTTAAAAATCATTATAAAATGCTTAATTTTATATTTTAATGTGATTTACATACCGGTTTACATAACTATAATATATTTATTCGCTATTAATATTCTTAATTTTCCAATATTTTATTTTATTTGTGTTCCAAATTATCATATTTTCAAATATGATTGGTTCTAATAAATTTTATATGATCATTAGTTCTAATAAATTTTTAATGCTCCGAAAAAAAATATCCTTCCCCGGCAAAAAATTCCTGACTACGTATAGAATGAATCTATATATCAGAGATTTTAATTATATATATACAATGTCATTTATGACATTTTATAGGTATATTTAAATACCAAATAAATGAGTTAGAGATCGTTATGGGAAAAAAATATTCACGTTTAAAGTAATTATATAATGCACTTTAATAACAAATCGATTTATTAAATATGCGCAATAATTATCCTAATATATTTTTTTAAAAAAATCTATTTATATATATATATATATATATATATATATACCAGAGAATATAGAAGATATATCTTAAATTCATAATTATCTAGATATTTGCTATTTCGAATATTTTATAGGCATTATTATCTTTATTAACGGACTCTGTCTGAACATTTTTTTTATCATTTGTACCAAAGGCCGCAGGAATTTTTGACTCTAACTTAATTTCTTCCAAATATGCCATATTGCATGCATCAACTTGCATCTCCTTTTCGGGTTTCAATTGAGATTCAGCGTTGCTGCTAGTGTTAAATAATTCTTTAATATTTCTTATCCCACCGATTCCTTTTATTTTCTTGTCACTATTACCACTTTTAATTAAAGTTTCGGCATTATTGTAAGGCAATAATTGATTTTCATCGCAGGTTGTTTCAATAGAACTAGAGTTGTTATTGGTGTAACTTTCGTCCTCTTCCAAAAGTCTTTCGTTATAAGGAAGCGACATTTGGCGTTTATATATACTTCTTTTGGGGCTCGCGTGGCGAGGGAAAGCACTTCTCTGGTTGGCGGATGCTTTCAAAGCATAAGGTGGCGGGTCTTGGGTAGGAAGATGTCTATTGCTGATTGATTCGCTTAGGTTCTTAGTAGTTAAGAATTTATATGAGGAATAAGTATTATTTGAAAACGAAATGCCTTCTTTTCTCGCGCGATTATTATTTACAATGCCGCTGTCCGGATTATCTAAATTATCATTGTATGGGCTGTTGGATTGCAGTTGAGAATCTTTATTGTGAGTCATAGTAGGGGGAAATACCAAGGATTTTATTTCAGAAGTTAAGGAAGCTCTTTGAATCGCTGGCACCCGCTTATTCGTGGTATAGTTTTTGGAACCTAAAAAGGGATGATAATCGTCATCCGATTTCTTACTTTTACTCCTTTTCTTTCTCCTACTTCTCCTTGAATGTCGTATCAAAGAGTTATGCATGCTAAATTTATTCGTTTCTCGCAAAGATTTAGGAGAAGGCGATTTTCTAAGGTGAGAAGACAATTTTCTCAGTATATTTTTGCTAGAAGATTTTGCTGTTAATCGTTGATGGATTACCTTCTTAACGTCTAAAGGCGGGCAGCTAACACTCCCTTTCAATACGGCTTTTTTGATGTAAGGGGTATCGCTATTAGTAAAATTTTCTGCCACGTAACCCGCGGAAGCCCTTAGCATCTTCTCTCGCATTTTTTTGTCGTGAAATTTGGCCAAGTTGGAGATATTACCCTTGACAGTCAGGTCGTTGTCGTATTCCATAAATGTACTATTATTATCCCCCGCGGCAGATATTTTCTTTTTCCTACCGCCCGCGAGAAGGATTAAATTTTCGTTGAAAATATTTTTTAAATCGCTGTTCAATTTTTTACCGGGATTCGTTATGCAATCGTTTTCGGGAATTGTATTAGTATTATTACGAATGCTAGTTTCGACATTTAATCTATCATTATCTAAAATCACAGGTTTTTTTACTATGTTCTGATCATTTTGGATATGGTTGCTAAAATTGAACATCATTTTATCATTTTTAGTCGGCGCGATTTCGTTATCCTTGATTTTAGTCACCTCGAATCTTTGTTCTTTGATAGGCCCTAGCCCATTTTGATAGAAATGATTAGAGATGGATGATCTGGAAGAAGGATATTGACTTGAAAAAGGATTTAAATTTGTATCCATTTGAATTTTATAGGGGCTCTCTAAAATCTCACTTTTGATAGAATGGTTAGATTTCCTTTTATAATATTTTTAAAATGTAAAAATTTTAAAACTGTCGATTAAACTAGAATATCATCATTAGAATTATACAAGTAAAGAGTATAAATGTTTGTTTAAATATATAGCAAGTATTATAGTATTCTACATCCATTTTCTCTGCAAAATCATTTTTTTCCCACGATAAATCAAGCACTATATTTAGGATTGTTAACAAGTCCAAGGTTCAATTTTTAAAAACGACAAGTAGCCAAAATAATATTAATCAAGCCTAACCGACCTTATACGATAATAAACCTTTATAACTTTTCAGAACATTAACCACACCGTTAAATTAAATCGCTAAAAGGAGAAAACCACCCGAACCGATACAATTTTTCTAACCCTAGTGTGTGTTTATATATTTAATAAGTATAGGATTTTCCATATGGAATATTTTTTTATTATTTTTATAACGGCTTAAAAAAAGTTCCTAGGTTATCTAAAACCTTTGCACCTACGAAACAATTCAAATGAATCTCCATTATTTTTCTTATAAATTCTATCTATGCCATGGTTTCTCCCCACATGATTACCGAAGTGACGTTACTTCGAATTATCAAGTGACTTTACTCCTTCAGCCATAAAAAATGTAGTAATTTTAAATTAAAATCAGCCTTCTCCCTTAGTGATTGAATATATAAACAATTCAGGTGTGGGCTGGGGGATTAGTCCAATCTCATTTTGATCAGCCTACAGATGTTTAAATAATAGTAGGACTATTATGCGTGCAAGTACGTAAGGCTTGCCAACAAAAGTGTAGAAGACTCCTCATATTTTTTTCCCCCAAATTTTCTTTAACATCCAAATAGATGGAAATTAGGAATATTTAGGGTAGCTCTGTTGTATCTTAACAAAAGAGGAAATATAAGCTTAAATCATGTATCAGGTATTTTTATTCACCCTAGGCTAATGGCCCTAACAAATGTTCTAAGGGAGAAATTGAGCTTTGGTAGACATTATAAAAAAAATATACAAGTGTTTTTGTCACACATTAAGTTTAATTGTGACAGGTGGTTACAAAAGAATATCAAGAATTTATGAATTAACAATGTGGTGTGGACTATGGAAATAGACTGAAATCTTAAAATAATGAAATATATTTTTGGGATCTATGTTATTTTTGATTTGGGTTACAAATCGGAACTTTATATGTAATGCCTTAATTGATATTATTAAGTATAAGTCTAAATTTAACTTATTGTTTCAAAGAAGTTCTCAAAAAATACTAATCTTAAGGATATAGAATCTAATTTTTACAAAGAATTCTGTAAAATTTTATCTCCCCTCTAATTGCCTTAGATAAATTATAGGGTAAAAAGAAATCGTTATTACGGGGAGCCAATAATATTTTTCTAAAGAAATTTTATGAGAACTGCAAAACTCAGATTAGTAAATTCAGCCTTTTAGCTACTATTTCCCACCTTTATTTTAAGCGTAGATGGGCTGATTCAATGTCTAGAAAATGATTGAAATCATTATATCAGAAGCTGATTATAAAAAAACAATCATGATAATTTTTTCGAGTTTAAAAGTTTTATTTCTATCCTAAATTCAGTCAAAGATATTTAACTTGAGGTGCTCACTTATTTAAAAGATGAATGAGATCGAATTTACGTTACAAAGTTTTCCACCAATTAAATAGGTGTTTTTAAAGTGCAACTCATTGTCGTCTTTATCAACACCTATAGAAAGATTGTTCAGCCTCGCAATTTTGCTTAAGTATAGTAGATACACATTTAAATTACAACCTATTTGGAAAATAAAATTAAACGTTTTTTTAAAAATAGTTAAAAATATATTATATTTGGCATATTAAAGGAATCAAGAACTATCTGAGATCATCATGGATTCTAATGGGATGCCTAAAATAAATTAGGGTTTGAATTGAATGGTTTTGCTACGTTTTACTCATAATAGTGTGGAATCTTATTTTTATACGCGCTTCTCTTTATTTATTTTTAATTTTATTATTTATTTATTTCCAATGTTGTTTCTCGACCTAAAGAAAGCAGATATGCCCAATATAAGCGTTAATCGAAAGCCAATCAAAAAATCTTTCCAATTGGAGGTTAAATCTCTCCCTTTTAATTGACGAATCTAGATCTTGGGAAGGGGGAGGGAGTTTTAGGAATATATTGTATAACAAATAAAAATTAATTAAGTATTTTTCTGACTGATATTCAATCTAACGATTCGGGTCCCTATTTTAAATATATTGAAATATTTTTTTAAAAAATAGACATAAAAACACTCTAATACTCAGTCGATAATATAGTAATATATTCTATATAGACCTGCTCCTGGCAAATGATTTTGATGATAAACGATGGATGGCCTCGTGAAAGTTATTGAAAGGGTTCAAATTTCTCAAATTTTCTTGGCTTAACAAATCTTTATCTATCTCGTTTACGTCATCCCTCGTTAAACTATTTATAATTGTGTTAAACAAAAATTTTATTTGTTTACTTTCCATTATAGCCTCTGTATTAGACATTATATTTTTTTTTTCGGGTTCAACCCGAACCAATTCAAATAATTTTTTCAAAGATCTGAAAAGAGAAGAAAAATAAGATTTTTAGGATTGTTTAAACGGCCCCATTTCGCCAATTTAAAATTAAGATTATAGCCAAAATAATATTACCTACGCCTCGAGATTTCGCTAATAGATGTCCAAACCTTTCTACCATCTAAGAGCAAATTCACCAGGTTTGCGTAATATTTTTTGGCTAAAATTAAGGGTTAACCTTTTTTTTTTGTTGAGGTGTGACGGTCCTGGTTGAATTAAAATTTCTAAAATAGGTCCCGATCCAACAGAGTCTAGAAAAATATCGGTCTAGTTCAGACTGTCCCGAGCTTAATTGGATGTATCCGCGTGGAGGATATTTTCTATTCTACTCTTTTTCCTTACTTTCACCCATTTCCCCCTTTTTTTAAATTTCATATCATTTATATGAGTTTTTTTTTAATCCAAGCCTTCCGTATATTTTATAAAAAATAAATATAAATTCAATCGTTTTACTAAATATCAGCAGTAGATCCCATCCAAGAATTTTTCTTGTAAAATTTTGAAGCCTCGGTATAGGGCAATTCAGGTTCTGGGTCATCCCAATACACATCCTTTTCCAAGTCAGGAAAAGTGCAGTGCAATTCATCAACTGCCAGCATGGAAATCTTTTAATTCATTTATCTCAGTATTTTAGTGAATTTAAAAAATTATATTCGTTTTTAATATAAAAATGACATTTTCTTTAATCTCGCGGTAATTTTCAATGGGTTCAAAGAATTTCAAAATATGATAATAATCCTTATAATAGTTAATTTATACTTTTTGGGAACTTTTTTGCGACATACAAATATACATTATGTTTTAAATTGAGATTGGCATTTTTACTTGAAAATTTCTATCTATAATCCAATTAATTTCGAAGTCATCTTCGTCTTCTCCAAATGGATTCATCAATTGTTCCGCTACCTTGTCCATAAAACATTCAAAATGTTATTTATATCAATAAGAAAATTATCAAATTAATTGGGAATTTGTTCTCTAAAACATGTTTTTTAAATCTAATTATACAAACTAAAGAAAGAAAGAAAAAAAAAGAAAGAAGGAACATTTTACTAATAACTTCAAAATTTTATTGATAAAGGTAACAAAATTCAAGTCAGGGAAATGTAGTAGAAATAAACTTTTTTATACTTTAAAAAAATATATAATTTTTTATTTTGCAAAATTATCGAATAAAAAAATGATCTAAAAATTTTCATCTATAATTTTATTATAAAAAATTTAAACCACTGGGATATTTTGAAATTCAAATTATATGTTTTAGGATTTGAAGAATTTATTTTTAAACGTTAAATTCTGACGTATATAAGTTTATCTTTTATATTCTTATCCATAATTATATCTCATTTTTATTTTAGATTTGAATCAGTTAATTGTGCGTTAATAACAAATTTATTCAATATTTGTCGCCAATCATTTTTCATATTATAAATTTAGCGACAATACATCAACAAAATCTTAGTTTTTAGAGATCAAGATCAGGTGATTCTTGTCCGCCATTATCTTAGTACGCTGCTCTATTATGGTTTAATCGCTATATTTTTTAAAAATTTATTTTGGGTTATCAGCTCTTTATTTCTGAGTGTATTTAGAGGAAAGTAATTTAGTTTAAAACTAAGAAAATTCGTATAAAAGAGGGAATGGGAAAAAAATATAAAACTGTTCTAGAATTAAATTTTTCCTTTTTTTTACCTTCAACCATCCCATGTAAAAGAGAAACTGAAGAAAGGTAAAAACAGGGAAATATATGTCGAACCGATTGGTATAACGTTTAGTTGGATCCAAAATTTGACGTCCCATTAGATTAGCTATGAAATACATGTAATTAGCCAGGCTCACTACCTGTAAAGCAAATTTAAATTTATAGCAAAATAAAGGAAAATATAATCCTATAAGAGAAATTATTGAACTGGGAATAAAGAAAGGGAAAAAATAGGATGAAATTATGAAAAAGTTAAATAAGAATAAAAATTATAATATTTAAGATCAAAAATACTATCCAAATTTCCTTATTTTATTAGTTTATCCCTCTATTAAAACATTGTGGCTAGGTAACTGTAATGTATGAATATAAATAGAAATTGTATTTTGTTAATTTGGTTTTAAGTTACAATTTATTGTAATAGATTAAATAGATAAATGATTTTGTCAAAAGATATATATTTTCTTATAATATTTTTATACATATATAAATAATGGATAACCGTATACTATAATAAATAGTATGATTTTATAAAAACCTGAGTGTAGACTAAAGGAACACTAATCCAATCGTAGGCATATAGGGCAGCACATTTCCTACGAAAATCTGCTAACTGCTAGCAAAATAAATTTTTAAAAAATTATTTTCAAATTAATTTGGGGAAAAAAAATATAATAATCTTTTAAACCTCTTTCCCTTCCTGCATACTTCCTACCCCTTCTCTCTCTCTCTCTCACACACACACACATTACATAAAATTTGTAAATTTACCATGAGTAGGACTCGGAGACAATAATCATTGGTTAATCTTTTTTCGTTGTAAGCGCAAACGACTAAATTAGAAAACCATACGCATGGAAGCCACCATTTTGAATGGGGAGTGGTTATATTTTCAAATATCTTTAGTTCTTTATAAGTCATAAATCCTGAAGATTAAGCAAATATAATATATAATGCAAATTGGGATAAGAACTAAAATGGTATTTTATTACTAGTTTTTGTTTTTGATTCAGGACAAACCTTTTTTTTCTTTTAAAATATAGATTTAGACTTAATAGATAGATAATACTTTTAAAATTATGCAAGGTTTAATCAAGAGAAGAATGGGAAAATAATATATATATGTGGTATTGGAATATGCAATCTATGGGAATTCAGAATCTCTTAAGATTTAAAATCATTTACCCAGAGAAAAATTTTAAAAATCTGACATTAATTTTAAACAATTTTGCAGTGAAATATTTGAACTACTCTTAATATATAATATTTATATGGATTTTTAAATATAAATTTCAAAAAAAATAAAATAAATATTAATGACAAAAAATTGTCTGAAATTAATAGGGTATGATATCCTACATAAGCTGGAATACATCGGCTAAATCGGATTTAAAACAATTTTTCCAAATCCGTCCTGGGTAAATGATGAGAGATTTTCGAGTCCCCATGGATTCCATATCTCAATACGACATATGTCTTCAATAGTTTTATAAATATATAGACTTGAGAAAAATGTCAGTTGCTAGATAGAAGAATTGGGGTGAGGGTATAGTTATTTCAATATATTTTTATCTTCCTTGATTCGGCTGATGGTAAGGAATTTTTATATGATGAGAATGAGAAGACATAATTAATGTCCTAAATGTTTGATTGACTCCCATGTATTATAACCAATCCAACATGTCCTCTGATGACAGATTAATTTTAGAATTTTAGGAATGCTGTCACTAGGCTTCAAATAATTATTAGATTAATGTATGCTATTGGCATCATTCTTGAATGTAACAACAATTCTATGCCTACCAGTGTTGCAATTTACACTATTATATGAACAATGGCATAGGCAATATTTTCCTATGGGGGGGGTAAAGAATTGGGGTAGGGGATTCGGTCCCAAACTACCCCATTATGCCCAATTCTTATATATTATTGATTTTTTGGTGGTCTTTATATAATCTCTGTTAAAGTTGACTGAACAAGCTCTAATTCTAAAATATGGCAAGGTTTTGTGATTTAACCAGTATAGTAGCCAGTATAAAGAAAAAAATTCTTAGTAGCAAGATTTTGGCTAACCTTACGATTAAAAGCATTTATTTAGTAAATTTTATCTATCAATGTTTAGATCATAATTGTATATTAATTTATACAGTTTGGTAGACAGTATAAATTGGAGTATATGTCACATCTCTTTCTTCGATAAAAAAAAATGGGGGAAAAAACTCACTACATTTCTTAGAAGCCTAGCTAAAAAATAGACGAAACTTATATTTTATTAGCTTATAATTATTTTAAAAATAAATTATATAGAAATATTTAAATAAAATATATTTAGGATCAAAAAAAGAGTATATAATACTCTCCAAGTTTAAAATGATTGAAAGGCTTTTATTTACCGGCCTCAACAACACTTTCCATATCAGGAAATCGCCTCTTAACAGGTGCGCTAATAGAGCGGAAAATTAGGACGGACGTCAAGTTAAGGTACCTCATAAGGGTTCTTCTGATTAGTCTAGTTTTCTCATCTTTACCCTGTATCAAAGAGTTCACCATTATCATCGATCTTTCAAATAAAAATAAATTATTTAAAATTTTTAAATCTAAAGTTAAATATTAAATAATCTTGGCACTTTTATAGGTTCGAAGTGATAGACAGATTTTAAAAAAACGTTTTTGTATTGATATTTATTGGTATATCAAAATAATCTTAAACAAATGATATAAATATAATGTTAAGGCTATCAAGTATTCTATGCTTTTAGAAGTCGGGTGGTGTTACTAAAGATAATAACCCTATTTTGCAAACGAATTCAGATTATTTTAAGGATTATTCTTTTTTTAAAAAAACAATATAAATATATATGGTCGGGTCAATTGTCAAGTTAAGATGGGAAATTCATGGTGTAATTATAATATTAAGATAATAAAGACAGGAAAGAAGAAGTAAAAAAAAGATTTAATAAATTGCTTTATTATGATTGAAATTTAAAATTCATGCAGCAAAATAAATTCTCATATAAATTCATCATTACGATCTAATACCTAATACATGAGTATTTCTTAAGAAAATAAAAAATAAATTAAGTGTGATAAATATATAGAATATATATATTCGAAGGAATATTTAAAAAAAAACTTAACTCATCCGGCAAAGGAATGGATTGGAATTGCTCCCACCATCTTCCCATTATCAAAGATACGAAAAATCCCAAAACGAAAGGTAAAGGAATCAGATTGACAAACGTATCGCAATAAAGCACTATTTGTTCGAAGATGCTTCATCCATCCATCAATTATACGGGGAATGTAAAAAAAAAGCATTAAAAAAAATAAAAAAGTTTTACAAATATAAATTAATTAAATAACAGAAAATTAGGTTTCATGGGTCCATGTAGTGTTGCTAAACGGCTCGTTTTGAGCCGATTTTTAAAAACGGCTAACTCAATATTTTAGCCAGAAAAATATGGCTGAAGTCTCGAGATTTCGCTAATAGTTGTCCAAACCTTTGTTCTTCCTACAAACAAAATCTCATGCTTGCGTAATATTATTCCAGATAAAATATTGAGTTAGCCGTTTTAAAAAATCGGCTCAAAACATGCCGTTTAACAACACTAGGTCCATGAATATTCTTGATATAAGGGAGTTTATAGCTTGAGAGATATATTTACCCCGTGGAACCGATAATTTTATAGGATAATTATGCATAGCGTTGGTCGTTATACGGCAATTGGCTAAATCAAATGTTCTAAACAACCACCCCATTTTATTAAATTCGAATAAGATGCACACACGTGGTCACTTCCTATATTCAATATATCCTATCCTAACCCGCAAACACCTAGTTGGTTTCAAAAAAAAACCAGGCCCTTGTTGGATTATGTCGAAATAAAGTGACATTCAACTATAGCAACTGCGCCACAGACCTAAAAATTACTTATCTAATATTTTAATAAAATTGATAAAAAATCAAAAATGTTCATCATCGCCATACATCATTACCCTACTTTCTAAGAGGGGGGGGGGGTTATAATTTTTTTAAAAAAAGCTGACACTCCTATTCCCAATTCAACTAAGCAGAAAGATTAGGATGCGTCATGATTGCAGATACTGTTGATCATCTTTAAACCAAGATCTCGTAGATACAGAAAAATTGAAATATGATAAATACGTGGACATCTTTAATATCTTTTCATACCAGCTATCATAACCACTCTTTCTACTTTTAGTCCTTCAAGACCTAATGAAAAAATTGGGCAGACAAATTTTGTCAAAACAGAGGATCCGAAAGAAGGATTTTCTTTTCGACAAAGACTTGCAATCCAGGTCATTAAATTTAATTTTCATTGCCTTATTAACTCATTCTTCTCTTGACTTTGTTTCAATTGTGATATTATGTCACTTAATTTGTGATTTCTCATGCATGTTTAATTATATATGTTAAATTTGTCAAGGTTATTGCATTTTGTAATAATTTAAATATTTTTTTTCCTTTTTATTCTAAATCATAAAGAATTTAAACTAATATAATTTATTTGCAAAATATTGTTCAAAATATTTTTTTTATGTATATGGTATGGGTTAATAAATTATAATAAAATATCATAGAATTAAATGTTATATATGATTCAAAAAGTTGGTTTCTTAAATGGGAATATAATCTTTTTTACGAGTGATTAATTCAAAGCTTCTCTGTGAATATATATTAGGTAAAATCAATTCATTCAGACGGAACTTCTAAGATAGGCTTTAATTTTCTGTATTGAGAAAAAAAAACTAATCTCATTTCTGCTTGAGCTTATTACTGTTGTTGGCAATAAGATTCAGGTTTTAATATATTTGGGAAAAACTCTAAAAAATATCTAAAAAATATGCAAGGCAATTTTTCACACCAAGATTTAAATTCTGTTAAATAGCCTTCAGAAGCTTTAAAACCCTGCGAATAAAATATATTTTTGAAAAATATTTATGGCAAATCCCCCTCCCCTCGGCTATGCATCTGCAGGAAAGTCAGGGATTAATAACAGATGGTTATCAGTGTCTATTAAATGTATAATGTATATGCTATCAGAATATAGATATTTAAGGTTAAAAAAAATAGGGTTAGGAAAAATAACTTGGAAGCTTTCGAGGTTTATGTTTAATAAACAAACCCTGTTTGGTTGATTATTTTGTTACCACTAGGGACAAATGTGAATTATCTTATTCATTAATAAATAATTGATCAAAAACCATTCACATATATTTTTTTTTATTCCCAACTCGTTCATTTATTCATCCATTCACTCATTTATTCATTCATTTGTTCATTCATTCATTAAACTCGGCTTCATTTTTCAAACCACTTCATAACACGGAACCAAATATCGATTTTATTTGGCTTTTAAAATATTTCTACATGCAACCGACCAGTTTTTGATAGGTCGGATCAGAGCGCCATCAATCAACTAGTCAACTAGTGAGATCTTCTCCGCATTTATTCATTTGTTCATTTCACGCAAAATTTACCTTCTTTGGCTTTCGGTCATCGCGAATCGATAGAAAATGTTTATCATGTAGTAAAGCATTATAAACAAGAACAACTCCTTGTAAACCAATTTGTAGATACTTCCCTATCAGATATTATTTTTTTTAAATTTAAAGAAAATTAAATATATTATGTTCATCTTGTCGAATCAAGAAATTTATAAAAATCAAATAGAGAAAAAGAAAATAAATGAAGATTAAAAATATATTTTCAAATTAAATTTCGTGTCAAGGTTTACTTGAAATTTGAGGTAATAGTCAAAGAGCTAAATAATAACTATATTTTATTCTTTTTTTTTGGTAAATTATTTTTATAAATATAATATCGTTGCCCTTGTTTAATTCGATTATTAAACTACCTGATTTTATTAGCTAAACTAAATATAGGCAAAGGTCGGATGTGTAGGTTAGTCTACATGATGCCAATTAGTAGCATGACAGAGAGGCTTAATGTCTTACGCCAAAAACTTTAGAAAGCCCCTTGGAAATTATTGATTTTTTTTTGTAATTTTAAGATAGAATTTTCTATTATTGCTCATTTTAGTTAGAATCACTTATTCTTTTTTTTCCACCATATTCTGAAAAATTTCAAAATGTGAGCCTCCTCAAGTTTAAAAGGCTAGCAACGTCGCTGAAGCCTAAACTAATTTATTTCAGATACTGGGTGCATTTATAGCCTACAAATGTGTTATAGACTTAGGCTTAACTTAATATGCTAATTTAAGGTATTTTGAAATTTAGGGTTTTTATATGCTTGAATCATTCACATTAAATTCTTTGTTTCACGCATATTTTTAAGATTTAACGATTTTATTTTTCCGGCATTCTATTCCAGCATGTCCATAGTACCTAGCCTACTTTATATATTTAAGACATGTTGGTCAAGAAATTTTAGGTATATAATAAAAAAAAAATTTAAGGTAAATTTAGTTTAATAAAATAAAGGCAGAATTGTATGATATTCATACGGACACTAGTGATCCACATCGATCCCTAGCGAATTATTTTTTATTTATCTGAAAAAATACCTTACCCGAAATAAAAATTTAAGTTATTTGTCCACCCCGGCACGAATTTATTTAAATGAAATTAATTTCTTTTCATTATAGTTTTGCGTTTTTACACTTAACACGAGTTTTTACTAAGAAATAAAAAAAATTGGTGTTTCTTACAAAAATTTTTAAAAAATATTGTGCCAAGCTAAGCCCCAACCGAATCTATTTTTTTTATAAAAATAAGTCTATTACTTTTACAGATATCTAGTAGATAAGATACTCTACCTAAGTTTGGGCAGATTACTTACGTATTTCAATTCCTTTTTTTTGTAATTTATTGTAACTGTAATAATTTTATTTTTTAAAAAAAGAATTGTTAATTATAATTAATTACATTTACCCATGTAATTAGTTAATTAATGATTATTATTATGAATATTTTAATAATTTCTTTTCTTAAATTTAATTAATTTGTATTTTATGAAAAACGAAACGAATAATAAGTGCAATCATTCATTTTTTTTAAAAAACTAATTTTTGACGGAGGCGATATATGGAAAATAAACAAAACTGAAAACCAAAAAACTACATTGTTGTTAAACGGCTCAATTTGAGCCGATTTTTTACAAACGGCTAACTCAATATTTCATCCAGAAAAAAAATATTATGCAAGCTTAAAGATTTTGCTCATAGAGAGCACATAGGCTTGAACATCTATTGGCGAAATCTTAACGCTTAGTCAATATTTTCCTGGCTATAATATTGAGTCAACGGTTTTTAAAATCGGCTTAAATCGAGCCGTTTAACAACACTAATACCTTCATTTTTAAGAATAATAAATAGTATCTTCTATCCGAAAATCGTATCAAATGACGAATTTTGGAAGATAACTAATCTCACTGAGGTTTAAATGATGATAAAGAAAAGGGGCATAGGAGTTCCTTGTTCACATTATAAGAACCCACAACAGCAATTTAGTTCAGGATGCCGGTTATATTCGTTTAACGGAAAAACCTATAGCAAATTCAAGACATTATGGATATATAGAGCGCAGAAGGGCGTAATGAACTTAAATTAAATTAAATATAGCTGGCTTAAATAATTTTAATCTCCTTTAAAATCTATTTTCATGATACAAGTTAATTATTGCTTTTGTTAATCTTATCTTATATTGTATATTTTAAACTTCTAGTCTATGATCTCTCCTTTCCTCTAAAACGCTCTAATAATCAAAATCGGGTCTTTCCTTTCTTGCTAATAAAATTTGGTAAAGATTAAACTTAAAATCAATCAATTTCTTAAAGTAACACAAATGTATCAGAAATTCGAAGGTGGGCGGTGTTTATTTGGTCGATTTCTTTTGAAATCAGCGCAAAGACATTTACTTCGGACTGTTATGTGCACAAAAACGTGCGGCTTGTCTACTAAAGTGTAATATAAATATCTTTCAATATACAATTTGATAGAAAAAAAAATTCCATTTTCGAAGGGATAGGTTAATTTTCTTCTTCTAATAACTTTGAATTTAACGGTGTCTTACTAAAAGAATTAATTATTAAAAACGTCCTATTTCCCTTTAATATAATATAATATTTGTATAACCTAAATTAGGGGCTTTCAAAGTTCATCCATAATATTTTTTCCCCATGGCAATTATAACTCCTACCTCTACCTCGTTGGCTATCTATTTCCTTCTACAACAACCGTTTTACTAAATAAATCTCGCTTTTTGTAAGATCTTAATGTAAAATAACTTGTTTAATTTTTTGTTTTGTGAATTTAATTATTTATAGATTTAATTTAGTATTTTTAAAATAAATAAGAATATTTTAATTTATTTACAAATAATATTAAATCAAAGATATCAGCTGAAAATCCCCCTTAAAAAAAATATATCAAAATTTTGATGCCCGGGCTAAGCTAAGTCTATTAAATTAAAATTTTTACTAAAAATCAGAGATTTAAGCGGTATCCCTGATTTGTTTTATGTGCCGAGCTTTAGGTAGAAAAATATTGCTTAAGCCTAGAGATTTGGCTAATAGATGTCCAAACCTTTGTGCCATCAATGAGCAAAATCGTAAGGTTTGCCTAACAATTTTTTGAATTAAAATTAAGTTGGTCGTTTTTAAAAATCTGTTTAATTTTGAGCCGTTTAGCAATAATATAAATATAAATCTCAGCTAATAAAAAAAAGAGGTAATATTTACTTATACAAAGTTTAATATTTAATTAAAGACTTAGTTATTGAACAAACAGATTAATAAAAAAAATTTAAAAAAAGATTTGATAAGATTATGGTTCGTGACCCATAATAATACTATTGGCTACCTTTTATTTATTTATCTGTCATATGATTGGTTGAATTTTATTCATTTATTTTTTTTTTTGTTGAATGATATTTTTATTATCGAAAACCATTGGTTGTAATTTTTACACATATTTTTTTATTTAAAATATTGTTTGTTGAACGGTTTTTTTATTATAGAAAATTATTTAGCTAATTGTTGTGAGATGGACAGGATAAAATTTTAAAGGGAATGGCAAATTAGATAAAAAAAAATCTTTATGGATTATAAGGATACCATGCAGATTTGTAATTTAGATATCTTTTCCAATTGTCTTTTTTACTTAGATTGCATACATTTGTGAATTATTTAAATTTTTATGTTTCTTTCTCATTGGTCACTTATATCATTACTTATAAGCTTTATTTCTAATTGCACATTACCCGAGAATACAATTAAACACTTTACTCTTTATTTAAAATATAAAAAATGTATAACAAAATATATATTCTATATATTTATAATAAGGAAATGCTTGAATAATATCTTCTATAACATATTTAGATATTCAATAGATTTATATTTTCTCTTTTTTTATATAGATATATTTTATGTAATCTTCCATAAACTGGGACCACCAAGATTTAAGATATTTTTTTGAGACCACGCCAAAGATGCTTTATGGACAGGGTTAGTGTTGTTAAAAAGTTCGTTTTGAGCCGATTTTTAAAAACCAGCTAACTCAATATTTTAGCCAGAAAAATATTGTCTAGGCCTCGAGATTTCGATAATATGTGTCTAGAGCTTTGTTCCTTCCATGAGCAAAATTTTCAAGCTTGCGTAATATTTTTCTGGATGAAGTATTAAGTTAGCCGTTTTTAAAAATCGGCTCAAAACCAGCCGTTGGGTATTTATGCTTCTATTAACCGGGCAAATATTATTTTCAAATAAATATTTTAAACATTTATTCACATTATAAATATAATTTAAAAAATTGTAAAAAGGTTAAAAAGTTTTAAAAAAAATATTAAGATTTAAAAAAAAAAATATGTGTAAAAATTAACAACCAATGGTTTTCAAAATGAAAATTTTAAAAAGGTTCGGTTTTCTAGTGCAAGTGGATGCTACAAATGCAAATAATTGAATATCAAGATTATAAAGTTATTACAGAATCTTCTCCCATATTAACCGAACTTAAATTTGGCATCTTATTTCACCAGAAGTTAAATAATATATATTAAATTTTGTTCATTTAGGATAAATCAAAATACAATTGATATGAACATTAAATCTCTCAATATCGATAGTAATCATTTAAGACTTACTAAGTAATTTAAACTTAAAATCAGCCACCTCCCACCCTTAAAGTAATTAAATTATACTGACGTTCTCGGGTATAGGCATTTGTTTTTGCCCAACTCTTCTTTTCTTAGCCTATGGAAGTTTAAATAACAGTTCTCGAAATGTTGTGCATACAAGTACGTGCGGCTTGCCCACAAACGTGTAGAGGGCTCCTCATTTTTAATTTTTCATCCAACTTAATTTAATCCAATTAGATGGGAATGAGGAATACCTAGCGTAGCTCTGTTGAACCTTCAACTAGAGAAGGCAAAAGCTCTATAAATTGCGTATCACATAAAAAAAAATTCAACCAATTATATGACAGATAAATAAGTAAAAGATAGTCAATGGTATTTATGGCTCACCATAATTTAAAATTTTAACAACAATAAATAACCTTTGATAAAATTTAATTTTAAGAAAAAATACATATACCATATTTTAACTTTAAATTATTC